CTCACGTAAAGGGTGTATAATTGCTCATATACAAAGCAATTGCGTCTACTTGAGTATATGTATGTTTATGCGCGTCTATTCGTGTCTGTGTAAGCATGTTTGCAGTCAACCAAAGCATCAGCATCAACAGCTGCGGGCAGCGCTTGGGCAGCCCTTGAGCAGCGAAATATTTATAAATTCTTGTTAAATCGGTCTAGGGAAATTCTAAAATTCTGCGTATTCACAAAAGGCATCTAGGACTAAAATTTGGTGTTCCTATGTCTTATAGTCTCCGAGATACAGGAGACTATACAAATGGAAAATCGGGAAAACCCCCATAGGGGGGAAGTGGGAGGGAAAATCAAAAAAATAAAACAAACTTGCACAGCGTACGCACATAAGGCATCTTTGTGCAAAATTTGGTGTCTCTAGCTCTTATAGTCTCTGAGATCCAGGTGTTCATACGGACAGACAGACATAGATCGACTCGTCTTGTGATGCTGATGATGAATATATATCATTTGTGGGGTCTGCCATGCCTCCCCCATAAAGTATGTATATATATTCTTAATCAGCATGGCGAGAGAAATCAATCTAGACATGTCCGTCCGTCTGTCTGGATGAACGCAAGAATTTTAGAAACTATAAAAGCTAGAATAACCAAAGTTGGCATCCAGATTCTCCTAGATCCGAGTAAGGACGAGTTTATTTTTATTTCTTTAATTTTCCCCCCCTTCCCCCGCTACAGAATTTCGTCAATAGCGTCCACATTTCAAATGCTACCTAAACCAAACTTTGCACACATAATTTATTTATAAATATCTATTGTTTACAATTTTATTCAATTCGATCAATTCTAAGAAACGTTATTAGCGAAACCAATTCTCGCCAGTACAACCCCCCCAAGCTGCAGCAACAAGTTCGCTCTTCTTCTTCCTCTTTTTGCTTCTGCTAGAAGCACATATACCTCAGTGTCGGAAGTTTACCTGGGTACAGGGTATTTCACTGTCGGGCTTGCTCGACTGTAGCATTCTCTCTTGTTTTCGATGCGCCACTCCCCCGCTATTAGTGATTTTCCATAACTTCCGTAGTTCTTGGAATTTCAACTCAAATTTGGTACTTACATTCAGTCAGTGATTATGTGTCCGTATGTTAGGTTTCTTCATGATTGGTCAATCTGGTCAATCGATTCATCTTGTCATACTGATCAAGAATATTTATACTTTGTGGGGTATGCCCGGGTATCTCCCGGTTACATTTTTCACCTCCTGCAAACCTAATATACTTTTGTACATTTCATGTACAGAGTATAATAAAAGCTGTTGGATGCCCATATCTTACAAAATAAAATGTACATTTTGGCCAAAAATCAAAGGCCAACAACAAATGCAGGCACATGGCAATGTGTCTGCCGGAAAGCAAGGATGCCTGGCCTCCAAAAAATTTCACAATTTTTCCGCAAAACAAATTGCGCGTAAAAATGGCAATGCAATTTTCGGTCGTTTTTACGGAAGCTGCCTTCACCAAAAACCAAAAATACCAACAACAAACAAGTTAAGAACATGGCAAAGGAACGCACGTTGCATACGTGGTTCATGAGTCCTGTGTGTTTGACGCATAAACGTGTTTAAATGTTTTATGCAAACAGTTAGCCATGACACATTTCTTTGTGATAATTTTCCAATTCAATATAATATAAATACTAGCAATAATATAAATAATTGCTTTCTATATAATACCAAAAAAGCAGTTATAGTGGAAATTCTGCCCAGGTGTTGTTTTAGACACTCAATCAATTCAATATTGGTGTTATATAAATAATTGCTTTTTATATAATACCAATATTGAATTGATTGACTGCTGTACCATGAACTACGGGACATTTTGAAAATAACGTATGGCAGGCTGCATCAGAAACAAGATAGAACGTTACAGTCGAGCAAGCCCGACAGTAAAATATCCTGTACTCTCCACACAAAAAAAAAATTAAAAAAAAAAGATTATTTAAAAAAATTAATTTATTAAATGAAATATAAAATATTCAACACATGCGTACATACATATCTAAGTGTTTTTGTTCAATTTCAATAGAATGAATTTACATCAGAATCGTGTATAAGCACGCATATGTGTGTATATATGCAGCACAAAGTTGAACTAAAGCAGCAACAACAACAAAAGCTGCGGGCAGAGCTGCGTGAAAAGCTGCAGGCAGCGATTTTATTTATGGCTATAACTTTCTTCAGAATTTCATCATGATTGAACTTGGCATATGGATACATAATCACTGACTGGATGTAATTACCAAATTCGAAATTCCAAGTATTACGAGGGTTATGGGAAAAAAACACAAATAGCGTGGGAGCGGGGGGTACATAGAAAAAAAACTCAAATTCGTACTTTCTCGGACTTAGGAGAATCTGGATACCAAGTTTGGTTATTCTAGCTCTTATACTTTCTGAAATCCTTGCGGACTGAGAGACGGTCAGACGGCCATGGCTATATCAACTCGTTTTGTCACCCTGACCAAGAATATATATACTTTGTGTGGTCCGCCACGCCTCCTTCTGTGTGTTCCATGTACAATCGCACAAAACTAATATACCCTTTTACCCTTTGGGTACAGGGTATAATTATTCTAAACATATGTTCAGAATATTTCAATGTCGGGATACACGACCTTAGCTTCTCTACTTGTTATACTCTGTACATGAAATGTACAGAAGTATATTAGGTTTGCGGGAGCTGAAAAATGTAACAGGCAGAAGGAGGCGTGGCAGACCCCACAAAGTATACAAGTATATATTCTTGATCAGCGTGACAAGACGAGTCGATCTAGCCCTGTCTGTCCGTCTGTCCGTCCGTGTGAACACCTGGATCTCAGAGACTATAAGAGATAGAGGCACCAAATTTTGCACAAAGATGCCTTATGTGTGTATTCTATACGAGTTTGTTTAACTCCCGTAATTCTTGGAATTTCGAACTAAAATTTTGGAAATACCCCCAGTTGGTTATTATGTGTCCGTGTGCCAAGTTTCACTATGATAGACCGATTTAACGAGAAGTTATAGCCATAAATATATTTGCTGCTGCAGCGCTGCTGCTGCAAAGTCGGGACACCCAACTAGCTTTTTTACTTTTTATGTTTTACATTTTTGAGTTACTTGATTCATTTAGATCCAAAGAATTGGTCAAAAAGTTCAAATTTTGAAAAATATATGCACATTTTATGCACAGTACTTGCCATTGAAATTTCCTGCATTTATTTTGTTATCCTTTAGGGACGGAAAATGAAGGAGGCAGAAATATTAAAAATAAAAGACGAAACAGCAGGCGACGCGATGTCAGGATGGGATGGTCTAGACCGGCCAGCAGTTGCGAATTTTCGTTCAATTCTTTCGTCCTTTCCTTTTTCGGCACTTAGCCCGAACGAACGCAAGGACCTTTTGTTATATTGAGAAGGCAGAAAAAAATTGCGCTAAGATGCTTATCCTTTTTTTTCATAGAAGTAAAAATGGTAAAAATGCTCCATTATTATTTTTATTACTTATTTGCTTTTAATACTTCGCAGCGTAGACAGGCAACGTTGCGCTTCGAACATCACCCAATCTCAAAGCGGATGTCGTCTACTTTGCATTTTGAGCCGTTATACTTATAAGCTTCCTGCTCTGCCCCTGCCCGATTAGACTGCCTGTGTATTTTAAACGGCGTTCTCGAAATTATTATACTTGTCTTCTGGTCGCTGGCGCACTTATTGAAAAAATCGCATGTCACATTATGCATAAAAAATTGTGCAAATTCCTCGGCCATCTTTTCGATGGCTTCGGCATTAGCTTAGCATCGGATTGAAATTGGTTGACACTGCCACTGACTTGCCCCGGCTCTTGTTTTAAGTGCAGCGACTTGGCTTTGTCATCTGTGTTTATGTTAAAAACTTGTCTGCTGTTTCTGGCCGTTGTCAATCCTTGGTCAAGAAGAGCTTTTGTTATTTGTTGTGCCTGAGTACTTTTTCATATTGTTCATACTTTTAGCATGTAATCACTGTCTATTTCGAGAATGCTGCTTAAATGCTTTTCAAAATTTTTTTTACTCTGTGGACTGTGTTATCTAAAATGTTATGTAAGTATCATTGCTTATTATTGTCGGATTGTCTGATATAAAATTTCGTAAGGACTGTCATCAGCGGTTAGTAGCGAAACTATAACCAAGACATTTGAACACACAACCCATTTGTATTTGTTTACGGTTCTATTGTCGTAAATTAGTTCAACTCGACTCCGTGTAGCGCGGACCCTACACCGTTAATTGGATATTTTAATCAAAAGACATAATGAAAAGAAATTAAATCTACATTTCTTTGCCTGCAGTATTACAATTGCAATCAAATTATTATTGTAACTCAGCTGAAGTTGGTGCTACATTGAGAACGTAGACGAAGCATTCAATGCCTGAATCCTTGTTGGTATTATGAGTGTTGCTGGCATCTCAACGATTTCTAGTTTTCTTATTAAATATTCTAGAAATGTTTCTGAATCCAATGTGCAATGGCATGTGCTTGAAAACTGAACGCTTCATTGCAAATGTGTGTATGTCCATGTGTTCAAATATACGTACATTGTTCCTTGGCTTAGTGGTAGCGGGGCTGTTTGTCATTTTAAGTCAGGGCCATGGGTAACTAGTGAGGTGGAACTTCGAGCTTAAGGAAAGGCATTGTAGCGCGCCAACAGAAATTTGGAAAGGAGTGGGACGGACAGCTGACAGAACATAAAGTGAAGATGAAATGAGTCGGAACGAATGGCAGAGCAAGCATTTATAAGTGAGAATTGCCAAAGAAAGGGTGAATTCAGCATGCACAGGCTTTAAAACCCTTAGCCAACCAACAATGCTTGCTATACGTGTATGTAAACGTATTTGTCGGTTTGAGATTTGTGGACAATTTTAATATCAGAAGCCAGTTATTACAATTAGTCAACAATTTAAAAACCAACTACGTTTTTTAATTAGAAAAATGTACTGAAATATCCATAAACTAACTAAATAAAATGTTCTTTACTCCCCAAAATATGTTCGTTTATGTTGGACACTTCTGGAACTGTTTGAATTGGAATTCAGAAAATATGACAATTTAAAACTCAATAAAGACGGATTGCGGATATCCGAAATATCGGCAGAGATTCAATATCGTTGCATTATTTTAAATGTGTCACATGTGCAAATGCCACGAAAACGAGAAAATACAAACACAAACGCGTCTGCGCAGTTTTTAAATAGCTCCAACTTTTTGGCGTGTTTCAGGCCTGTGCGAACTGAACACTGGAGCTCGTCGTGCCAGTTGTTTTCTTTGTTTTCTTCCACGAGCAGAGTCTGAAACACTTTCAAAAGCTGCAAGTGGCGCTCGACTAGCGGACAGCGCACTAACACTAACATTTGGATGAACGGTCTAAACTTTATCCAGCGCTTGAAATCATCGATGCAAAGCTCGGTGCCAGCGTCTATAATCATTAGCTTGCATTGGTAGTCATGTATGCCACGTAGGATGGAAAGCTCCATAGGATGGTAGAATTGGACACACAGCTCCGACTTCAGACTGAAACCCAGCTCGTGGGTAGGTGCTTGCATGGTCCAAGGGTACTTTCGATTGGCAAACTCGTAGGCCAGCTTCTGGCGACGTTCGCGCTCTTGGCCTTTGTGCTTCACATGTTGATCCAAGGGTGGGACGGCCACCGATCCGTAGTTGTCATAATCGGCATGTGCAGCGGAACTAATGCGCTCAGCCGCTTCATCTGCCTTCTTTTCGGCGTCCTCTTCCGATTCTTCTTCCTTTGTCGCTGCGTCGCAGCATCGTAGTCCAAACGGCGAAAAATAATTCGGGTAGCCGGCTTTTGCAAGTAGAGTGTGCCAGCGCCGCTGACAAAAAGGCCGCTCCGAAACAAAAAATTCCACTGACTTGCTTTCGATGTGGCAGATATTTTCATCTATTATGAGCGGCCAAAATGCATCGAAGAAAGATGTCCCCAATGTGGTTTGAGAGCTGTGTTTCATTTTATTACTGCTTATTACTGCTTTAAATTTTGAGTTTTCTTTTTAACTATTTTTTAACGGCAACGGTATCAGAGAAATGTTTATTTTGTATGCTAAACAGATATACATTTTCTGAACAAACAAAAAATGTTCTTTACATCGATTAGAAATTACAACATTTGATTCATGGCAAGCCATGTAAGATTCGAGCGGGCCCAAAAAAGGGTAGGTTAGGTGTGTGGAAAGTATGTAACAGAAGGAGGCATCTGCGACCCCTTAAGTATTTATATTTTTAATGAGCATGACGTGACGAATCGATAAAACCATGTCCGTTTATCTGGATGAGCGGCTGGATTTAGGAGACGAAACTTGGTATGTGGACTCTGCTTGTTTAAAATACACATATCAACTGCATTGTTAAACGAGAAAATTAGTTCCCTTTTGAAAGCAGACACAAATAGATAACAAGTAAAAAAGCTAAAGTCGCGTGTCTTTGTACATACATATGTGTACCATAATTATAAAAATTAAAACAATTAAGTGAATTAAAAAGAAAACAAGTAAAACAAGTAAAAAAGTTAAATCGGGTGTCCCGACTTTGAAATACTCTGTACATATGTTTACAATAATTATAGAAAAAAAAAAAAAATAAGAAAATTTAAAAAAATTTGATCGATTTTACCTTTCTCGGTATTCGAACTCACGTAAAGGGTATATAATTGCACATTTACTTAGCAATTGCGTATTCTGCGTATTCACACAAGGCATCTTGGACTAAAATTTGGTGTTCCTAGGTCTTATAGTCTCCGAGATATAGGCGATTATACGAATGGAAAATCGGGAAAACCCCCATAGGGGGGAAGTGGGGGGGGGGGGGGGGAATCAAAAAAATAAAACAAACTCGTATAGCGTACACACAAAAGGCATCTTTGTGCAAAATTTGGTGTCTCTAGCTCTTATAGGCTCTGAGATCTAGGTGCTCATACGGACGGACGGACGGACAGACGGACAGACAGACAGACAGGGCTAGATCGACTCGTCTCGTCATGCTGATCAAGAATATATATACTTTGTGGGGTCTGCCACGCCTCCTTCTGCCTGTTACATTTTTCAGCTCGCGCAAACCTAATATACTCTTGTACATTTCATGTACAGAGTATAAAAATTAAGAGAATTAAAACAAGTAGAGATGCTAAGGTCGAGTATCCCGACTTTGAAATACTCTGTACATATGTGTAGAATTGTATGCGTGTTTGTGTGTATTTGTGTGTGTCTGTGTATGTCTCGTGTGCCTGAGCAAAGCAGTAACAACAACAACAGCTGCGGTCACTACTTGGTCTTATGTACATATATGGCTATAACTTCCTGTTAAATCGGCCTATCATGATGGAACTTGGCATTTGGGCTTATAATAACTAAATGGAGGTACTTGCCAAGTTTGAAATTCTAAGAATTACGAGAGTTACGATTTGCTTGGGAAAGGGGGAGGGAGGGAAATTCCAAAATACACATTTTCTGCGCATTCATACTCTAGATCTGATAGTCTCCGAGATATAGGTGATTATACGAACGGAAACCCGGGAAAACCCCCATAGGGGGGAAGTGGGGGGGGGGCATTTTTGTGCAAAATTTGGTGTCTCTAGCTCCTATAGTGTCTGAGACCCAGGTACTTATACGGACGGACAGACAGACAGACAGGGCTAGATCGACTCGTCTCGTCATGCTGATCAAGAATATATATACTTTTTGGGGTCTGCCACGCCTCCTTCTGCCTGTTACATTTTTCAGCTCCCGCAAACCTAATATACTCTTGTACAGAGTATAAAAACGTCTCGTGCTCATACATATGTATATGAACATAGTCTGAAACCCAAGACAGACCATAAACAAGTGCAATACCACATGCAGGTTAATGGAAAAGCAGCCAATAGAAATCACAGTCCATATGCACATAAGAGAAGGAGGTTCAATTTAAATTAAAAGAAAATAGAAATAAAAAGTAGATGCAGAAGATAGAAAATAAGTGTACTTAGTGTAACAGTTGTGTATAAATAAGCTAAATTTTCAATAACAATGGAAGTGGAGAAGCTAAAATCGGGTATCCCGACTTTGAAATACTCTGTACATATGTATAGAATATTTATAAAATTTATATAAATTAGGAAAATTAAAATAAAAGTAAAAAGAATTTTGATCGATTTTACCTCTTTTGGTATTTGAACTCACGTAAAGGGTATATGACAGGCGGGCAGGGCTAGATCTTGTCATGTCATGATGATCAAGGATATATTTACTTTGTGGGGTCTTTCACGGCCCTCTAAATATCCTATAAATATCGACGTGAGCGTGTGTCAACATTGAGAAAGTTATTGACCCGCACCGGGTGCGGAAGCACACATCATGACCCCAACAGCAAGTCTTGCTGATAGGCTGACTCATCCCTAGATGTCAGCTGCTCTAAATAAATTATAAATTGTTGCGACGCAAATCAAACTAACAGCCATTTTGCGTACAAAAAGCAACAAATATTTATGTATTTATTTTTTGATAAAAGTCCCGAACAGGTCATTGGCCATTAAATTTAAAGTTGGTTTTAAATTTGTGGCACGCGCACACACGTGTGTTACATTATTCTTGCTGAGTTTTATCCGGCTGCTCACAAGAACGTTATGAAAATGCTTGTGTCGAGCTTGCTCATAACGACTATGCACGCGCACTTGTCATAATTCCATCAAGGCGAAAATCTTTAAGCCAACAAAGGCAAGGAGTGCATGGTGTCGGCCCTTGGGCTGATGCCATTGAGTTTGGGGTTGCTGTAGGCGAAGTCAAGTGGGCGAAGTCGATGATGTCATGAGCTGCAAGTGCTTGGAGATGGATGTAATGCAAGTACACTCAGACTCAGCAGCGGTTGCAGTAAAAGAGGAGCCTCACCACACCCTTCCCCAAGCGCCATGGTTACGAGGTAGAGACAAAAAAGGCACTCGTCAGTGGTCGTCTCCATTCGTTGTTGGTATGACTCGGCAGGCGCAGTTTAAGCGATTTGAACACCATAGAAAACATCATTAAAGTTTTTCAGAAGTAGGCGTCGTTGGCCTGCAGTTTGTGGGCGACCAAGTACTAGTATAACGAAGGCGTTCTTAAGTGTTCGCGATGCTGGCTAACGTAAGATTTGGGACAATGGTAATGGGATTAAAAGGGACTGTAGATGAGACTACAATCGACAATGCTGGTTGAGTCATGTGTATGTTGTTGGTTGGGTCGGATCGGCATCAGCATCAACATCGACTTGCGTTAAAGTTCCTTGAGTCGGCTTCAAATTGATTTTTGTTGTAGTTTTAAACCTCTTCTGCTTCTGGTTCCTAGTCGTAACGAGAAGCACTCAAATAAATAAATTTAAAATAAAATCCGCGATACATAAGTGGTTGAGACAGGATGGGGGACATCGATATCTAAGCTTATAATCTGCAGTCACTGGATATTTATTGCAATTATTCATTCCACTAAATTACTTGAAATAAACAAGAGTATATTAGGTTTGTGAAGGTGAATATTGTAATAGAAGGAAGAGTGGCAGTATATATATTATTAATCAGAGACTACAAAAGCTAGACACCAAATTTTGTACAAATATGCCTTTTGTGTGTACGCTGCGCAAGTTTATTTTATATTTTTGATTTTCCCCCCGAATCCCCCGATAATGGGGATTCTCCGTAACACCGTTCGTATTATCACCTATATATCTCAGAAACTATAGAAACCTAGGGACACCAAATTTTAGTCAAAGATGCCTTATGTAAATACGCAGAAAATGTGGAATTTGGATTTCCCTCCCTCTCTCCGCCCCACGCAATAAGTGTTTTTCCATGCCTCCCGAAATTCTTGGAACTTATGACTTAAATGTATATCTCCAGTTAATGAATATGTGTCCGTCTGCCATATTTCATCATGATAGGCCAATACATGGCCGTAAAGGGGGAGGTGCAAACCGGGCTAAGAAGTTATTTTTGCGGCCACCAGTTCGATGATTTCATCGAAACCTGAGGCAATATACATACAAGTATAATACTGCGACTAATTTTAAAACGTTGTGCATTATTGTCTCTTAAAAATGGTTTTGGTTTAACAGAAACATGGGAATCTGGATACCGAGTTTGGTTATTCTAGCTCTTCTACCTTCTGAGATCCTTGCGCTCATACAGACGGACGGACGGACTGACGGACGGACTGACGGACAGACGGACATGGCTATATGGACGGACGGACGGACAGACGGACATGGCTATATCGACTCGGCTTCTCACCCTGACCAAGAATATATATACTTTGTGGGGTCTGCCACGGCTCCTTCTGTGTGTTACATACATTCGCACAAAACTAGTATAGCCTTTCACCCTTTGGGTACAGGCTATAATTAAATATGGGTTTTTCAGAAAATGCAGCTTCAGTTCTGAACTGTCGAAACATAATGATTTTAGATTTCTTTATCTGCCATAACTTCCTTTTGCTAACTGCCTCGACCCCAGATACGGCTTCGATTCCTTGTTAGCTTGCAAAAAATTCTATTAAACTGAGAATCATTCGAACTCTGTTTAGAAAATTAACTAGACTTGATAACGCAGTTAGTAATTATGTGTCCGTATGCCAAGTTTCATCATAATAGACCGATTTAACAAGAAGTTAAATATATAAATATATTTGCTGTCCAAGCGCTGCCCATGAGCCCATAAACATACATACACTCACATAGACGCAATTGCTTTGTATATGTGCAAAAGAGGTAAAATCGATAAAAAAAAATTTTTTTAATTCTCTTAATTTTTTTTAAATTTCTATAATTATTGTAAACATATGTACAGAGTATTTCAGAGTCGGGACACCCGACTTTAGCTTTTTTACTTGTTTTTTCTCCGCCGTTATTATTGATCTAGATTTCAATAATTTTAAAGTATGTACACGTGTATACGAGTATATACAAATTTATCATTTATGTAAGAAAACAAAATTTCAAATTGTTCAATTATACACTCTCGATGTCCCACTTTATATTAGTACCAGGAATGCTAAAGTCGAGCAGGCTCAACTCTCAAATACCCTGTACCACCCCACAAAAAGAAATGAAATTAATTAATTAATCAGAAAAAATGAACAAACTCGTCCTTTCTCGGGCTCAGGAGAATCTGTATACCAAGTTTGGTTATTCTAGCTCTTATACTTTCTGAGATCCTTGCGTTCATACAGACAGACAGACGGACAGACAGACGGACATGGCTATATCAGCATGACAAGCCGTGCTGATCAAAAATATATATACTTTGTGGGGTCTACCACGCCTCCTTCTGTGTGTTCCATGTACACTCGCACAAAACTAATATACCCTTGTACCCTTTGGGTACAGGGTATAAAAATCGGCCAAAAAATCTTGCTACGCCCATGGGCGTACAATATACAAGGAAGTTATAGCTAACTTCTTTACTTGCTTAAATTTGTATGATGAATTTCAATACTCTCAACTACTATTCCGTTTTGCGTTTCCTATGCCGAATTTCAATCAAGACGCATTTTAGGCTGTACCTGAAGGGTAAAAAGGGTATATTTGGTTTGCGACCCCCTTCGTTGAAAGAATTTTTATATTCAAGTTATTTCAGTGTTGGGCTTGGGATATTGTTTTAATTTGGGATCTTTAATTTATATATTTTGCATATCTTGCATCAACCATTTGAACTTCAGCTCCTCTTACTTTTACTGGCAGAATATACCATAGAGTATGT